GGTTTTCCGCCTTGAAATGCAAAATGCTGATGCAGGATCGGGTTGTGACTTCACCTAAACTAGTGATAGGGAATGAAGTAGTCGAATGTGTAGACCGCTTTATTTGTCTCAGGATTCTCATCAGTGCTGATGGCCTGGTGACTGACGAAATCTCAGCACGGATACAGAAAGCTCGATTGGCTTTTGCCAATTTACATCATTTATGCCGTAGGCGAGAATATCCGTTTGTTTACTAAAGGACGAGTGTACTGTGCAGTAGTTCGCTCCGTCCTACTATACGGATGCGAAACATAGGCGTTAAGAGTAGAGGACTTTCGTAGGTTACTAGTTTTCGATCATTGGTATCTCCGAAGCATTCCTCGTGTATCATGGGACAACCGTATAAGCAATACTGTCGTTAGGAAACGAGTTCTAGGTAGGGATGGCAAATCAATAGATCAAGTAGTGAAACTTCATCAGTTGAGGTGGTTGGGACATGTGTTACGTAGGCTTCCCACCGACTGCCTTGATGAGCTATGTTTTGTGGTGTAGGAGTAGGTTGGAAGAAAGCTAGGGGCGGCCAGACCAAAACATGGCAGAAACTCATGAAGTCACTGACAAGTGGATTGAGTGATGTTGGTAGATGTAGGCTACTTGTTTGGGCTCCATGAGACGAAACTCACCAATGGTTAGATACCTAGAACAACGACATGGCTCAAAATCGTTTGCAATGACGCAGGTGCATCCACTCTTTGTCTTCTCTCAGATTCTAACCTTCTGAATTTCTCATCACCTCTACCTTTGTCTTTGCAACCTTATCTCACTGAATTATACTTCTTGAATCGTTATCTTCAAACCCTAGTCTTCTTCATTACCATTAATACCTCTTCTATGTCTATCACTATGGGATTTGATTTCACAGTTGCGTCTGTGTGCTGATGTGGTATGGCAACTTGAACTGATGTACTTATGTACGATGTTCTGTCTCTCTGTCTGATTCACGATTTCAATAATTAACAAACTCATTGGTTAGTCAATATAATTATTGTATCTGCTGGCTGATTCCATTTCCATCTATTATTAGCTAAAAAATTTTATTCGGACAAAGATTCTCAAATTACTAAACTTATTAGATAGGAAAATATTTTCAATTGTCAATTTACAATTTCATTTCAACGGTTAATAAACACTCACCAATTGTGTTGACATACAAGTAAACCAGAGAAAGAAAAATAAATTCAATACTTTTATGTAAGAATTTATCATATTCCTCCTAGCTGGTTGAATTTTTCCCTCTCATTCTATCTCTCTCTAAATAAAACTCTGCAGTTTACTACTTCAGGTCATTATTGATCCATTGATCAATATCAATTTCGCTGTTGAATTTTCATTCGTCCGATTTTGATTTTCCCCCCAAGTTTTAAATTCGTTTAATGACCATTGTGATGATAAACGATGATACATACTTTTTTGTTGATCAAAAAACAAAAAAATGGCTTATCTATTTATTTTAGAAAAATGTTGCAGAAAATCAACTATGTATGACGTAAGGTCATTTGGAAATAGTGTTTCGAAACTAACTACTATACACTGTATTAATTTTTATATGATGAATAATTTTGATCAGTGAAAGTTAATTTGTAGTTACGTTTCATACTAAAAAAATTAAAGATAGATTTATTAAGATTCTGTGTAAGGATATTTATTCATCAAATAGCCTAAGAGAATTATTTTTGAAAGTTTAATTCTATTGGTCAATTTCCTCCTGTTGATCAATATTATAGTCGTCCTAGCTATCAATGTCACATACTTCAAAGTTGTTTCTTATTGGTCGTCCTGACTATCAATGTCATTTCAAATGTTGTTTCCTATTAGTTGTCTTAACTGTCAATGTCACAGACTTCCATGTTGTTGCCTAATCGACCTAACTGTATAAATACGCATTATCTGTAACGTTTTATGGCCCGGAACCGGATATCTAGTACGGGGTCCTTATGCTCTTCGGGACTCGGACCTCGTACTTTCTGGATGCTTGTAGAATACACGTTCTACTTGATATCAAGTCTTATTCTTTTTTACTGAATGGGGGTTTAGGACTCTCAGATTAGAGTAGCCTGTCATGTCGCCGGATAATCGATCCTCGCTGTCGTTCACTGACTAAGGTAAACTCATAATGGTTCAGGCATATCAAAATGACGTGTTTACGTTCATGCGTAACATTTTGTTGATAAAAACAAATTTCAACCAATTCATTTATCATCAAGGCTTGTAGGTTTATGTCAGATGAAATTTTGCGAATGGATTCATTGGATATGGTTTCGGTGTATGGGAGATTCATTTCATAGCATACTATTGAACGTCATAAATAAAGAAGTCATTGCAGGCCTCTAACGTAATGAGCTCTAACTCGTGTTCAACTCGAATATATGTGTGCACTCTACGCTTATCACATGTCTGGCCTACCTTTGTCTGACTGACTATAAATGCTTTGTCATGCCTCACCGACAGGGAGTTGGCGTCGCCAACCTTCTCCACTTTGATTCATTTTGCTTTAACACTCGGTATTCTCAAGTCTGTCTACATGAACGACTGCTTGAAATAAACTCATCCAACTGAATCTGTAATTGGCTTCTTATTATTGTCGTCTCAAAAAAAGGGTTTACCTAAATATGATATGCGGAAATTGAAGGGAAGATTTATTTCATAGTATACTCTTGAACGTCACAAATGAAGGAGTCATTGAAGGGTCAAGAAAGTAACGAACCCTACTTTGAGTTCAACTCAGCCACTCAGAATCATTTAGAACAATAAAATCTAACAATGAACTATATATAAGTTTAACACGGACAGAAAAACTTCTCAATAGTATATATCAAAAATTAATCTCAATTCGTGTACCATTGAAAATTGAAAAACAGTACTGTTAACAGATGTTCATTAAACAATGTCATTATTTATTATTATTTTAAACAAATTCTCATTTTTATAACCAGATTATCTCTACTCATGATGTTAATGATGTTATTCAAAGGAAGCTGATATAGAATGAATCGATAACGAATTATAATAGACTATATTTTAGCCAGTAAAGAGTTAAATATTCATCAGGAAATTGATCAATTTTCAAGTGTTTGTAAAAATACAGACCCATAATTAAAATTATGATTTGTTTTAATTTTCAATAAGTGTTATTGTTAATCGTACTACTACTAATAATAATAAGGATATAGGTAATAAGAAACATTTATGAAAAACATTAAATTTCGAGAAATTATTGATCATAATAGGAGAATAAATCCACCTGTGGTGAAGGTCAGATTCATTGTTCAATTTATTTGTCTTTTGGTAATTTTTGAATGCAAAACTCAACTTTAATTTCATTGAATCATTTAAATTTATACAGAGAGTAAACAACGTTAGAGAATAACTTGTTAGTCATCCATGTAACATATAAAGCGTTCATTTCCATATCAAGGTCGTGGTATAGTTCACAGATAAAACTGAGGAGATTTTTAAAACTACCTTTTAACCAATCAGTAAAGAGCCCAGCGTGTATAAATAAACAGTATTTCCTAATAACAATTATACAACCTTATTAAACTTTTCATGATTCTAGGGAGTTTATGGATTTTTCAAAAGCTGATTATTATTTGTTTTTCTAACTTAATTTTGTAAAAGCATAACACCATTGATTCGAGTGGGAGTTTATTCATGCTGAAGACTGCTTTCTGAATCTATCACATGGTCATAAATAGTTTTATAGAAAATTTTGGAGAATTAGAATAAGTGAGTATCTATATTGAAACCAAGAATTCAGGCATAAACGTTGTACACCTGGTTTAGTATTCCTACTCAGATGAACCACTAACTGAGGACTTCATTTGTTATGAGATCAGAGAACGAAACACCACCACAAAAAACCGCTCACAAAAGGTCTTTAAGATGACTGTGGTCATTGATTGAAGATATTTTGAGATAATGCTCAAAGTCCAGTGACAGTAGTTTCGATTCATTTATCTTTCTTTAAGTTTTAAGCTGCAAAAAGACCTTTTATTTTCATCTTTTCTTAAATTTATTCTTACTTTTCCAGTCTTATTCTCTGGTATTTAATCTTACTCAATATTATGAATGCTATCCATTACCTTAGTGAGTCAGTCAGTCAGTTACAACGTATAAATTCGTACGTACGTACATTAGTTCAAGTTGCCATACCACATAAACACACAGAGATCAGATTGTTAATTCAAATCTCATAGTGACGGGAGTAGTAAAAGTATTAGAGGTAATCGAAAGGATTAGGGTTCAAAGATATCATTCAAGAAGTATAATTCTGTGAAATAAATTTAAAAAGAGAAAACATCTGGTCTTGTAGAATTCAGAAGATTAGAATCTGATAGAACACAAAGAATGAATTCATCTACGCCATTGCAAACGATTTTGAGTCATATAATTCAAGGTCTCTACGTATCAGTGACTATTATCTCGCGGAGCCCCAATCAAATAGTATACACCTTCACCACCTAGTTCATTCCATTTCGTCTATCTGAAACGATATGGAAGTTTGTGTTTACACACAATTTTAGTAAACTCCATATTGATTATAAACAAAGCAGATTCCAATGGAGAAGGAAATCAGGAAGAAGCGGTGGATTTGGTGGATAGGACACACACTACGAAAAGCACCTAACTGCGTCACACGGAAAGCCCTCACATGGAACCCTCAAGGCAAAAGGAAAAGAGGAAGGTCAAGGAACACATTACACCCTGAGAAATAGAGAAATATATGAGAGGAATGAACAAACATTGGACAGAACTAGAAAGGGACGACCAGGAAAGCGTTGATTGGAGAAAACTGGTGAGCGGCCTATGCTCCTCTATTGGGGGGTAACAGGCGTAAGTAAGTAAGTAAGTAAGTAAGTATGTTGATTATGAACGACTGAATCATTGAAATCATTTTCAAATTTAAAACAAGAAAAACTTATAATTCACTTTCAATGATATTTATTCTATTTATGACATAGATTTAAAACGTAATGATCATGGTGTTTACCGATGTACTGTATCGAATCAAGCTGGTGAAACACATGCGATTGGACATGTTTTAGTACATTCCGAACCACAATTAGAATTAATCTCCATAGAACATAATTATTTTCTTGGGCATAAACCATGGAAAGCATCATGTATTGTAAAAGGTTATCCATTAGCTGGACAAATTAATCAGCCACAACATCACCAACAACCGAAGAAGAACAATCCTAATCAGGATGATGATGATGATAAGTTGATTGAAACAATCGAAAAGTCAACTGTTGACAAAAGAGAGGAAAATGATAGGGATGAAGTTCAATCAAACCATCACACTGGTACACCATCTACATCATCATCGATAAGAATGAAAATTTTCAATATTGAAGGTGAACCATTGGATCGTGTAGAAATTAATCAAATTGATTATAAATCAGGAAAATTTACTGGGTAAATTATTATTATTATTATTGACCAATAAGCAAATTGTGTTTTTTTATGTTTGATTTCTTCTGGATGCACTGATTGTCCAGATGGTTTTCACTTATATACTTAGTGTTAATGGGACATAGATTGGAAATAAAGCATGATTGAGTTGTTGCACTCTGCTGATTGGCTCTTTTCTCATCCAGTCAGCGCTAGCCGATACTGCTGAGGGAACATTCTAGAATGTTCTCATGTAAGAAAACTATTTGGATTTCTCTGTCTTCCATTCTAACCTTGTAATTGAAGTAAGTCTCTTGAGTAAATACTAAGGATAATAAGCATTAGGAATAGCTAGGTTGTAATAAAGAGAGAATTATGACACTTAGATTACCTAATAACTTACGCCTATTACACCCAATAGAGCATAGGACCTTGACCAGTATTCTTCAATCTACTCTGACCTGGGACTTCTTTTCCAGTTCTAATCAACTGTCATTCATCCTTTTCATGTCGTTTGTCAATTTTTCAGCGTAATATGTTTTTCGTATTTTCCTATTTTGTCCGTTGGACTTGAGGATTCCAAATGAGGACCTGTCTTGTTGTAGTGAACGAGAACACACGTGGGGCAACCGAATTGTATTGAACGAAAACTACAGAGTTACTCAGTAAAATCGGAAAACCATATCGTAAATCGTTAATTTGCAAAATATCAGTTCCTGTTCCTGTTGCAAACAACATCAATCCATTGTCACTATTCATGCGTTTCATACAAATTTGATTGTGTTCTAACTCTTCCTTTCACTTGATCTTCCCCCATCTTCTGCTGCCAGACATTACGTTGACACTCACGTCATATACTACTTATAAGTAGCTCACACCACATTGTGACGCAGTTGCGTGCTTTCCTCAGTGTGTGTCCTATCGACATCCAGCGCTTTTCCCTTAATTTCTTCCTCCACTGGGACATGATTTGTTCTTTCCCACAGTAGGTTGTTGCTGATGGTGTCTGACTAATGGTTCTTCAAGTTTCCACTCCATACAATAGAAGTGTCTTGACATTTGCATTGGAAATTCTAACTATATTGTTGATTAATAGTTGTTTTGAGTTCCAGATGTTCTTCAATTGTAGAAATGCAGCCCTTGTTTGTTTTGCCGATCCACGCCCTCACATCTGCACCAGTTTCACCTTGCTCATCAATGATTCTGCCCAGATATGTAAAGGTTTTTACACTTATAATCAGAGAATATGATGAGTTAGTTCAACAGTGAGAGAGAGAAATTTTACAAGGACTGTTGATTTATTTATTTGGAGTAGTTTGGTTTTGATTACACTGAAGTAATACGATTAAACATTTAGTGCTGTTGTATCCATTGATAACTCAATCGTTCAGCATAAATAATTTGAGCATTTAGTCAAATATTAGTACTAAAAATCATTATAGTCCCTTAGTCAATAACATTTTACAATAGATTTTATTGAAATCATGGATCCATCACTGCGAGATCACCATTAGAAACCTGCAAACACTGAATGGCCATTTCTTCCTGATGTGGGGCTCATCAACAATATTCATGCAGAACCCCGAAGGTTGGGAATCAAACTCAAGACCTTCTTTCTCGTGCACGAACGCTTGACCTCTAGATCACTAAGCCGGAATTCAGCAGTGTTAATTTCTAACTTCAATCAATGCACGATATTGTGCAACCTCGTCTATGGGTAAATACCCTACACCTGACACGATTGAACTCCTCTGATCGTGGCTTTTTAATAAGTTTATATAGTTAATCTTTAGAACAATTGACACTGATTGATATTGAAAAAAATTTCAGTCATAAAGTGATATTATCAAAGACCAATAGTGACTAGCAGTGAATTTCAAGATGAGCGTTTCATCCTCTTTGAGATTCATCAGCTAGTACCCTCCACTACAAACTCCATTGCATTATTATCCACTTATAGAGTTATTGAGTTCACGTAGATGTTCGCTTGTGCAATGGAATTAACTTGAATTCATTTGTATCGGTTGTTTTAAATGTTCTCATTGATGTTTACAACTGCAAATGACCAATCTCTATTGATATATTCACATCCTGTGTGTAGATTGCCTCGATTATTACTTTTTGGATTACAAACATTATTAGCAGAGATGGATAAAATGATTTTATTGATGGTGAAAGGTACTGGGCTGGAGTCTCGGATTGAATATCACCTCCAAGATGCAAATGCATTCGGCTGGTGATGCGTTCCAAACAGTAAGAAACTGGTGTTTTGGATTCCACTGCTAGCCATTATCCACCTCTGATAATAATGTTTGTATTCTGAAAAGCATGATTGAGGCAATCCACATTGGACTAAGATATGCCAATAGAGACTGATCAGTGGCAATCCTAACTATCAATGGGACAATCCGAACAACCAATACAAAACAGTTTAGCTTAGAGACCGCTTCACTTACCTTGGGAGTCACATCAGTGCTGATGGCTTAGTGACTGACGTAATCTCGGCACGGATACAGAAGGCTAGATTGGCTTTTGAAAACCTTCATCATGTGTGGCGTAGGCGAGAATATCCGTTCGCTAACCAAAGGACGAGTGTACAACGCAGTAGTTCGCTCCGTCCTACTATATGGATGAGAAACATGGCCGGTAAGAGTCGAAGATGTTCGTAGGTTACTGGTTTTCGATCCTAGGTGACTCAGAAGCATTGCTCGTGTATCACGAGACAACCGAGAAGGCAATACTGTGGTTAGAAAACAGATCCTAGGTAAGGATGGCTGATCAATAAATGAAGTAATCAAACTTCATTAGTTGAGGTGGTTGAGACATGGGTTACGAATTCTCACCCACCGACTGCCTCGTCGAGCTGTTTTGTGGTGTAGGAATAGGTTGGAAGAAAGTTAGGGGCGGCCAGATCAAAACGTGGCACAAATCCATGAAGTCACTAACATGTGGGTTGAGTCATGTTTGTAGGTGTTGAGTACGTGGTTGGAGCCCGCGAGACAATAGTAATCCATGGCAAGAGACCTTGAATAACAAGGCTCAAAACCGTTTGCAATGGCGTAGGTGCATTCATTCTTTGTATTCTCTCAAATGTTAACCTTCACGTTCCTCATTACCTTCATCTTTTTCTTTTAAAGTTTATTTAACTAGATTCTACTTCTTGAATAATATCCTCGAACACTAATCTCTCCGATTTCTTCTAACACTTATACTACCCCTAATACTGTGAGATTTGAACTGACAATTACATCTCTGTGCTAATGTAGTATGGTAACTTGAACTAATGTACGTGCGTACGTACGAAGTTGTATGTTGTTGTTGATTGATTGATTGACCAATACAAATGAATAAAATGATGTTGTTTACAGAATTTGTGAAGGCTAACAAGTCACACAGCAAAACAAACGGAGGGTTTTTAAGCCTTATGATTTTATATCAATGTAAGATAATTTTAGACTGCTGCATTTAAAATTCAAGAATTTGGGTACAGAGAAATCCTCAAAAAAAATATATACTCATTGAATTACTATCACATTTTCAATTAACTTCACTTTAACATTCATCCACCTCTCACTAAGCAAAATTCATCCATAACTTCTCAAAATCACTGACTAGTAATCATATGACTTTGATTAACTGATATTCTTCGTAAAAGAAGTTCTATGGCTTCGCTATAATATGAAGGAAATGTCAGACAGTCAGTAACAACCTAGAACTTCGTACGTACGTACTTACATCAGTTCAGATTGCCATACAACGTCAGCACAGAGACGCAATTGTCACTTCAAATCCAAGAGTGATAGTGATAGTAGAATTATTAGCAGTAATGTAGAAGATAAGGCCTCGAAGATATGATTCGAGAAATATAATTCAGTGAGATAAAGTTAGAAAGAGAAAGATAGAGATGATGAGGAATTCTGAAGGTTAGGATTTGAGAGAACACAAAGAGTGGATGCACCTGCGCCACTGCAAACGATTCTGAGCCATGACATGTAAGGTCTCTAACCATCGGTGACTTTCGTCTCGCCAACCCCAACCACGTAGCCTGCATCTACCAACATAACTCAGTCCACTTGTCAATGATTTCATGTATTTCTGTCATGTTTCGGTCTGACCGCCCTTAGCTTTCGTTCAACCTATTCCTACACCACAAAACATAGCTCGTCGAGGCAATCGATGATTAGGCATACGTAACACATATTCAAACCACCTCAACTAATCGAGTCTCACTATTTCATCAATTATATAAAAGAAAATAAACAAATATCAATAAATTTCATTCATATCATTTAAAAAATGAAAAACAATTCATTTTTTTACAAAAACAAACATACTGAAAAAATCTATATTTTTCGAAAATTTTATCATAATTCTTTTTTTTTTTTAAATGAAGAAAAATATTTTTCAAACAACAGCAAATTTCCCGCTTTTACAAAATAAACAACAAATTCAAATGAGTACTAATAGTTTGTTCAATGATAAATATGTCCAATAAATAAATCGGAAATATGTCAGATAAAAATAGATTGTTTGTTTACAGAAAAGAAAGAATATGACATATTTATAGTTTGTTTATTGTTATTGAAGTTACTTGTCTGTTTGTTTGTATGAAGTGAATTTAGGCATAAGGTAATTTGTTTACATCGCTTGTACATTTTACTTATTAATCTGTGTTTGAATTTGATAAATGAAGAATAGATAAAGGTACTGTTTTACAAGAGTTAATGTGTATATATATATATATATATATATATATATATATTTGAATAGAGAAATAAGAAGTCATATTTTGTGAGATAGTACCATTTCGTGCTTTCTCGTCAGTCACATACAAGCAACATGTTATTTGTGTAAATTCAAGCTTATTACTGACACACTTAAATCAAACGGATATCCCGAAACGTTTATTGGTCATCAGAACACAACTATGACGAAGCTGATAGCAACTGATGTGCCCAAGAAACCAGTGTACCTACAGTAGTTACCTTTCAAGGATGATCATTGCATGAAAATTACAACCAAAC